ACAGGAAGTTAAAGAAGACCTATTGTGCTTGTGTCTGCTGTATTGCTATAAACTATATCACCCGTGGAGCATTATGTTTTAAGTTGCACATTTTAAATCGCAATATTCATCTGAAATGAGTTAATAAAAGAAAGAAGTCCACTGAGTTCTGCGAAAACTGACGTCGCTGTAAACATTACAACAAAGAGTGAGCATCTCCTGTAAATAACACCTCATTTTTCATTTGTACCAAAACAACTGCTACTGAATCCTACGCATATCACAGATTAAAGGGATAGTCCGGAATTTTGGACATAGGACCTCATTTCCTAGTGAGCCAAAGTGTTGGAGACACGTGGAGACACTTTATAAAATATTCCATCCAGTCCTTGTATTTGCAGAGGTCGCTGGTGCTAGGCTAGTGCATGTCAATGGCCATAGTTATCCTGCCACTAAAAACAGTCTTATCCACTCCACAAAACACCCGAGGTAAATCTGTTATTACGCCAGACTGTTGATGTAAATGTTTGTGTTGATAGAATAATTTTAGAAGTAAAACGAACCTTGCATTTGAAGGATTTATGTCTGAGCAGCAGTAGCAGCGAGTTGTACTTCTTGATAGAAAGCTTGGCAGTGGCGGACTGATATTTGAGAAAATAGTCCCTCAACATGCGGCAATTAATGCGATGCAAGGTTAGTTTTATTTCAAACGATATTCTATCAACACAGACATTTACATCAACAGTCTGGCGTTATAATTGTTTTGCTTCAGGTGTTTTGTTGAGTGGATAAGACTGTTTTTAGTGGCAGGATAACTATGGCCATTGACATGCACTAGCCTAGCACCAGCGACCTCTGCAAATACAAGGACTGGATGGAATATTTAAAAAAGTGTCTCCACACGTCTCCAACACTCTGGCTCACTAGGAAATGAAGTCCTATGTCCAAAAATCCAAACAGTCCCTTTAAGAAAATAAAAACTGTTCTGGGCACAACCGGCGGTGCTGAAAACTCAGATGTAAACAGACTAATAATAAAGGATTACTCAGTCATATGTGAATGAAACAAAATACAACTCTGGGTTGGTTTATGATAACAACAGGTAGGTAACAACATTATAACATGGCTCAAAATTCACATGAACCCATTTTCTGTAATATAGGAGCTTTAAAAACAATCATGACTTCTTTATTGAACTAATAATGGAAGAGATGAGATGAACCAATATTATTATGGTGGAACAAAAAAAGGAAATTGAATGTATAAAGCTCATTGAATACCAAAGCATATTTACAACAAGCGTTCACACCATCATCCTGTTATTGACTTCATAAAAACAACTGTGGATTACCTCTGCAAAAAATGCACCTGGAGCTACATAATAATTTATTTTTAAAGCAGCTGTAATTAACATTTAGCAACTACTAATTAACTTGTTTTGGGAAGTTTCAGTCAGGAGCTGCGCGTAGTATTACCTCCAACGCCTCTGGATGTATAATTATAATTTATAGACATATTTATTAGACAACTTTTTTCTTACTTACACAGGAATCAAAGAAAGAGTCCAGCAGATACAAACCCTCCAACTCCATCAACAATGGCCTCACTTGATAAAAAGACAGACGGAGAGAAAGATAAATCTCTTGAAAGAGCTTTTTCGGGGGCAGCCCGCGTTAGACTCTGTGATGTTTTCAAACTTCTGACAGTTCTTCCAGCTCCTCTTCACACTCTCTCTCCTCCCTTCCCCTTCCCGAGCCACATTTGGATTTCCATGCTTAACGGCAAACACTCATGCGCATCCTAACTGCCACCAAAACCTAATTCTGTTCTTTAATTCAAAAGCATACTGGAAGCGCACTGACATCGACGCAGCGGGGGTGTGAGAGAGGAGGTGCTTGTTGGTGTATGTGACAGAGGCCCTCCTGTGGTGAGACCTAATTTAAAGTGTGTGTGTGTGTGCATGCGTGTGTTCGTGTGTGTGTGTGTGTGTGTGTGCGAATATGGGGGGGGGGGTGACGAGGAGAAAAGGCAACCAGACAGAAACAAGTTACCTTTGCAGCAAGCGTGTGAACCCCAGAGTCTTTGAGGTGCAAAAATCACAACAACAAAAAGGCACGGATGGCACGGGGAAGTATGGAGAGACGAGGAGGGAGCTCGGACTGCGTTCAGAGTCTGGGTTTAGACATCGCAGTGGGGATTCTCATTTTGTGTTTCATGTACAGGGGAGAAACAAATGCATCCCCAGTGTCTCATGAAAGATTATGCTGTATTTTCATGTTCCAACTTGATTAGCTTGCAGGACTAAATGATAATAATAAACGCTGCTAATTGGCCTGGTGGTGGAAATGATTTCACAACAACTTTAGGGTCCAATCTTGTAAGCCGGTCACGTTTGAAGCATGATATATTGCTTCCAAAGACTATATATATAAATGGACAAAGCTAGCCTGCTTGTTCATATTAATCTGCTCTTTGTGATTCTAGTGTTTTTATTTTGCTGTATATTTTTCAGTTTTGCCCATTAATAAATGATGGAACACATCCCTTAGTCTATTTCTTTATACTTTGCTACAGAGAAATACTGCGATAAACAATAATAATGATTCTACTTTATGCCACTGACACAATAACAATAACGCAAGATAATCCAAGTCAAACATTTTTAAATAGATTCAGGTCTCAGGGCCTGTTTACACCAGAATACTTGCAGGTAAAAAACGACAAAATAAGTGCCTTTCGTTTAAAGGGTGAGGCCGTTTTTGGGGCACAACAAAAACACAAAAATCTGAAACCACCAAAAGTTGAATACGCTCCGCCGTGGCATTTCTGTCTACACTGCCCAAGACGCAAAACTCTGGTCAGATCCGCTCACGCCGTGTATGCATTTATGTCACATACACACAGTACACAGATACAAACTTCCTCTCGAAAACGCTCGTCTAAACACGGAATAAAAAGTGAAAATGCAACGTCACTTTTGCGTCCTCTGTTCAGACCGTCATCATATAAACGCAGCCTCATTTAAAAGCCTGAGCTGCAACAGATAAATAGCAGAATGAATCAATAATTAGTCATAGAAGTCACGAAATTATTTGAACAGCTCTACTTTTACGGTATTACAACATCATCATTGAAAATCAAACAGGATCATGAACTTTCGCATTGACTACAAGCTACTGAAATTCTTTTTTTTTTTTTCTTAAGTTTTCAGAGTAAGTAGTAAAAGAATAGAAAAATTAAGCAGAGAAAGTAAATATAATCTAAGTGCATAATCTAATCTAAGTGTGTTCAACAGGCCACATGTAAGAATGACTCTGAGGGAACAATGTTTATCAAACAAAGGAGTTAAATTATGGAACAGTTGCTACTGAACTAAAACAAGCGACTTCTCTTTTTCAGTTCAAAATTGCTTTTAAGAGAATAGTAATGGAAAAATATTTGAAAGAATAATAACAGTAAATTGATTTCTGTTATAATTAGAATAATTGTTGATTTTTTATTTTTTTATTTTAATTATGATGTCCTAAAATGTTGTATTACTATCATACTAATTTTGAGATGAATGTCCATGAACGTGTTGTCGTTGGAGGTAAGGGTTGACACAATAAGTTTTAGCTTCTGCCTACAGAGTGACTTAGTATTTGATTTGATTTTTCTACACACTGAATATGTTTTATTTTATGACATCAGATTGAATATAATGCATGTAGGCTTTAATGAGTTAAACATTCACCAAATAAAAAGTTTTTTCTTAGCGTTTGCTAATGTGAGCTAATGTGAGTCACCATGGTAACCGCTGAACATTCCGCCAAAAGAGATACATGTAGAACACCTGCTGCTTGATGCCACTGCAAAGCATCAGTAGCTCCTTTCAAGATACACGGCGTGCTTTATGTTGCATAATTCATTCACTCCACACTCAAAGCACAATGAATTTGTTACAGCAGAGTGCAAAACTGTTCACTCTGGTGTAATTGTGTTAAAAGTGACAGTCACCAGTTGCCAACAACAACACCAACAAACACCAACAACAACAAACTTACTCCTTGGACAACTTATAACTTTGGAGTGAATTTTCATTTAAAATAAACATCAGCACTACTTTGAAAGTTATTGAGTATTTGTTTTATAGCAGCTATAAAACTTTCTCTTTTTATAGTTTGTGACAAAAATATATAAATAATTCAGTATATTTCATTTTGAGTATGAAGGCAGTAACAGCACTTTTCTATCCACCCCAACACTACATTGTGAGACAAAAACAACTACATTTGTATACAGTGTTGGGAAGTAGCTGATGTACTGAAAATACATATTCTGAACGCTCATTCTGAGTAATTATAATCTGGTAAAATACAGTTACTCTTTCATGTGGTGCTATTCAGAATACAGTTACTTTCATAAATTAAAAGAAATACATGGAAATACATGACAGTATTCATGCAATTTTGGCTTTGAACTGTGCGGTATTGGTGAGAAAAATAGAAAACACAGCTCCTGCAGTGTGTGCATTTATGATTTTTCATCCCTAATTGGACAAAAATAAATGTATAACAAACAACACAAAAAAAAAAAAAAAGTGTTAAGAATATTCAGAATACATTACTCTGATTGGACCATGTAAGAAAATACATTTTAATTTGGGTATTCAATGTCCTGTAACTAAATACATTTACATACAAAACACATAATAAGGCACACATGTTTATTAACCATTAACTAATAATTTGATGAAAATTACCTACTCATTAACAAGTGTTTAAGAACCATTTACACACATGGTCAGGACAAAAAGTAAACATTTCATAAAGGTTTATTTTATTTAACATCTACAAACAATTTACACATGTTTATTAATCCTTAACTACCAATGTACAAATAATGATATACATGATTAGTTAATGGTTAATAAACATTTGCTTTATTATTACGCCTTATTATAAAGTGATACCAAGTAGCTCTGCACACCAAATGTATTGAAATTCCCGTTCATAGTGTGTTGTGTTTTTGTCTGATCTTACCGGGTTGAGCAGCACGGTCAGGAACAGCTCTCCTCCTCGGATGCTCTTGTCTAGTTCCTTGGGTCCTCCGGGATACTCCTTGTAGTAGATGGTGTGCGTAAACAAGCCACAGGTCTGTCGCGGCAGCACCTGCATGAAGAGACCGGGGTGACAGGGTTACAGGGTGCAGCTGGAGCGTACAGTGAGAGTGTGGTCAGTCACTGTAAAGGAACAGACTGGTTAGTGCTACATCTTTTTATAGCTATCAAAGTGTTTGCTGGAAAGGTGGACATGGGGCACTGATCTTCTACATGAATGCTCCTACTGCTGGTTTTCAGATGACATCATACCATTCAAGGCCAATATTTTTAATACAGATGGGGGGCAATGAAAAAAAAAAAAATGTTGAAATGCAAAATGAAATTACTATACTTAGAAAAACGCTGCCTTGTCCCTTTAGAGTCAGCAGTGTAACAAATGTTGAAGTACGACATACTGTTGAAACTAACTAAATTACATAAATGGCTATTTTTGAGTTGAACGAAGGCAATCACGGAGCATTGACCTTCTATGCTCCGATACTTAGAAGGCTGCCCAGGTCCATTAGTGGCAGTAAAGTAACAAATTTTGAAGTACGACACAGAGTCCTGCACCAGGTCGGGTATCCGAAAATACATGGAACAAATACAGAAACAAAAGCGATATGGTTCAAAAGACTTGAAAAGATCTGCTTTGACAATAGACACATCCCAAACATGTCCGAAATTCGGAATGCATCTATACTTGCTGAAACGGGCAGGTTTTAACGTTTTGGAATTTTACAGGTAAGTATGCGGGTGGGCACGTCCAGGATGTCCGTTGCCCTGGGAACAGGTTTTCCTGGTCTTTTCCCTAACAATGGCAGACCAGGCTGAGCGGGTGACTTCAGCAGAGGTGATCAACTCGGCGACTGCGCTTGTTGTTTAGTCCTGGTTTAGATCTGGTTTAGACCTGGTTTAAACCTGGTTTAGTCCTGGTTACATCCTGGTTAAGTCTTAGTTTAGTCCTGGTGTAGTCCTGGCTAACGGCTCAGCAGTTGCAGCATGTATATAGTTATGCTAATGAGACTAGTTTAGTCCTGGTTTACACCTGGTTTAGTCCTGGTTTAGGCCTGGTTTAGACCTTTTTTAGACCTGGTTTTTAGACCTGGTTTAGTCCTGGTGTAGTCCTGGTGATCGGCTCTGCGGTTGCGGTGTGTATATATTTATAATCCACTAATGACACGGCGTAGGTTCAGTCCTGGTTTAGTTCTGGTTTACTCCTGGACTATTGGGTTGTCGGACTAATGGGCTGACCCCGATTTATCACGGGCACGGGCAGGTAACAGGTGGAATGCTAACGGGTCCAACTTTGACATAATCACAGGTTAACAGGCGGGTGTGGTGCTGTACTGCGCGGGTGCCGGTCTCCAAAAATGAACCCGTGCAGGACTCTGGTACGACATACTGTTGAAACTAACTAAATTATATAAAGTATATATATATAATGTTTTTGAGTCAAATAAACGTTGTTGTGGGGCACTGATCTTCTACCTGAAAGCCCCCATACTTAGAAGGCTGCCCAGGTCCACTAGTGTCATCAGTGCAACAAACTTTGAAGTATGATATATTGTTAAGGAAAATATAGACAATAATATTAAAAATCATTTAATTTGTGTCTATAATGAGCCATTGACGTTATTTATTCAAGCCTCTACAGCTCAAATCTTTTACAAGTACAGAAAAATACCAAAAAGTTCCTCGCTTGTATAAAGAAACAGTCCCCACGATAAATATTGACCAACAAAATGTACTGTTCCATCTCACCTCACACATATTGAACAATAAGTCAATAGAGTAATTAAATTGCTATTTTTGAGTCATATGAAGAAGATTGTCATGAAGGCTGCCCAGGTCCTTTTAAAATATGATATACTGTTGAAGAAAATATAGACAGTGTTGGGGAGTAACAGATTACATGTACCAGAGTTACGTAATCAGAGTACAAATTATGAGTAACTGTATTCAGTTACAGTTACTGTTTCAGTGAGTGGTAATTGGATTACAGTTACTTTGCTGAAATAAATGGATTATTTCCTGTTTTCACATTTTGGGCTATATTCCTTCTTTTCCATTTTTTTTTTTTTTTTTGGTAATTCCACTCATTGCCGGACAATAAACCAGATCTAAACCAGGTCTAAACCCAGGTCCAAACCAGGACTAAACCAGGACTAAAACCAGGACTAAAACCAGGACTAAAACCAGGTCTAGAGCAGGTCTAAACCAGGTCTAAACCAGGTCTAAACCCAGGTCCAAACCAGGTCCAAACCCAGGTCCAAACCAGGTCTAAACCAGGTCTAAACCCAGGTCCAAACCAGGTCTAAACCAGGTCTAAACCCAGGACTAAAGCCAGGACTAAAACCAGGTCTAAACCAGGTCTAAACCAAGCCTAAATCTAGGACTAAACCAGGTCTAAAGCAGGTTCAAACCCAGGTCCAAACCACGTCTAAACCAGGTCTAAACCTGGTCTAAATCTGGTCTAAAACCAGGTCTAAACTAGGTCTAAATCAGGACTAAATCAGGTCTAATCCTGGTCTAAATCTGGTTTAAATCTGGTCTAAGTCTGGTCTAAAACCAGGTTTAAACTAGGTCTAAACTAGGTCTAAACCAGGACTAAATCAGGTCTAAAACAGGATTTAACAGGACTTAACCATGCTGTGTCTCCTCTTCTTCTATCAATAATATTTTTAATCTGGTTAAGTAAAGTTTGGGCTTTTATTTTCTTTTAGCAGACAAAACATCTTATGTGAAGATTTCCTTGTCTTTGCTTCTCCACAAATCAAGTCAAATCAAGTAATCCAAAGTATTCAGATTACGTTACTCACTTTAAGTAATTTAATGGATTACGTTACAAACTACATTCTGGGGTATGTAATCTGTAATCTGTAGGGGATTACATTTTAAAAGCAACCTTCCCAACACTGAATATAGATGAAAAATGATAATACTGAAGCCACTTTATGCCACTGACACAATAACCCTACTAATGCTAAATAGTCACATCTTTATAAAGCACTTTTCCAGTTTCAAGGTCCTCAAAACACTTTACATCAAGGAACCACTCATCCATTTACACACATTCATACACCGGCGTAGACACTAGGGGTGAGGTGGGTTAAATGTCTTGCCCAAGGACACAACAACAGCAATGATGTTTTAGTTTTTTCGAGAGCGGGATTCACCAACTTTCAGATCAGTAGATAAACTCTCAGCAAGATTATCCCCAAAAACTATTCTAAATGTATAATATAGTTAAAAAAAAACACAAAACAAACACAAATACATAAATAGCAGGATGAATCACTTTAGTAGTCCGTTTGTGTCTATAATGAGCCATAGAAGTTAATTATTCAACCGTCTACAGCTCAAATATTTTTGCAGTACAGAAAAATACCAAAAGGTTTTTCACTACTACAAAAAACAGATAAATATTGACCCCCAAAATGTATTGTTCCATCTCACATACCGAAGGATAAGTCGATATAGTAATTATCGTGACAAGCCTTGGGATGTAAAAACCCGCTGTTGTTCGCATGAGCCAAAGAAATAAAAATGGATTTAAATGTGATATGAATAGATGAAGCATGCAGTAAAATGTTATTGCCATATATTGTGGGAGTTGCATTTTCTCTTTAAGGTTGTATTGATTAAGGAATATGAGGATGTAATCTCCCTAAGTCCTGGAATGTTTAACCTTTAATCAGACATGAAACTGGAGCTTTATTGACCAATCAAAATCCAGTTTATGAGAGCCAGCGTTTTAACTCGGTGGATTTGCATGAATTCTATCTGCTTTGGGGGATGGATCATATAAGACTACATTTTATACATTTTAATTATTTAAATGTCCTGTATTACACAAATGATGTGAAATGTGAGCTTTAGGCCAGTGTTTCCCAAACTTTTTTTTCTGGGGACCCATATTTTTAAAAGTCAGAAACCTTCGCGACCCAAGTCAATAGACATTATTCGTAAATCACAAAATAAAAATGGATTTGACCATCCAACCAGCAATAAAAGGATCCATAAGTCGTCTATTTGAACATTAAATTTCTTTTTCTTTTCAACATTCAACTGAACCAGCAATTTTGGAACAAAATAGTCAATAAAATAATTACGAGAAGATTAGAAATTATACCAAACATGTCTTAACATTTCAACATTTCTAATGAGATGGGTGGGCTTGTTTGCGGTTTTATAGTGAGATGCAGAAGGAGAGGAACACAGATATCATGCTTATAGGCAGAACTGTATATTGTTTATTTATTCATTTATTTATTAATCTGTTTATGTATTTAATAGTGACAGTGCATATTAATGAACATCTAAAAAATAGCAGTGTGAATATGCCAGATTTTAGCAAAACTACTAATTCCCATCTGTAGTCCCAGGCAAGTAACACCACAAATTTAACTGAAAAAAAAAAATAAATAAATAAAATAAATACATAAATAAATAAATAACAAGGTTATACCCTAAAAGTGTCCACCAGTCTGGTTTCCTTTTGCCACTGTTTCAAGTGGGATTTGTCCAGTGTTGGAGTCTCTCTGTTCCAGAACTGCAGACCTACATGCAGATTGTAACAAGGGGACCCACCCCAAAAAAATCTCCTGTGACCCACCTGAGGGGCACGAGCCAGTCTTTGGGAAGCAATGCTTTAGGCCATGTTATAATGTTGTTACTTCATCAAAAACATATTCAGAGTTATATGTTGTATTACCACATGACATCACAAGGTGGAACAGAGTGTTTTCTGTTTGAGAGAAGCACTCAGCTATGTAAATATGCAGTGTTTGTGTGTTAATCATGTGTGAATGAAACAAAACACAACTCCAGGTATTTTCTTAACAACATTCAAACATTGATCAGAAAATGAAAATAATATGAGCTCTTTAAACAAAAAATATATATAAACCTTAAGACTATTCATATAGACTTGCTAGTAATCGCTGATGCTCTAATTATTTTGTACATTAACTTCTACATTTGTAATACATGAGTACATTTAAAGTATGAGCACCCTTAGTACTTGCGGCCCTACTTCAAATACTTTCCCACCTCTATTTGCCCCCA